TAAAAAAAAAAAAGACCAACACAAAAGCCAAAAACAAAGAGTTGAAATCGTCAAACCAAATAGTGAACCAAACCAAACAGCAGGCGAGAGCAGAGCTGCTCTCTCTGCATGGGGGGGGGGGGGGGGGGGCGAAGAAATGGCTCGATTTAGGTGCGACTGTGTGTTTTCTGTACGTACGTGTTAGAGACTTAAAACAAGTAGGTCCGCAGTGATGTCCTGATTTAAAAACCCAAAGACTAAACTTTCAAATACAGACTCTCAGCCGAAGGCCTCGGTGAAGTTGCTGGGGGGGGGGGGGGGGGGGGGGGGGGCTTTAAAATATCCAAAAAATATTTTGTTTTTTTCCCTTTCAGAAAAAAAAAAAACAGTCGACACGAGAGAATCGTTTTCAAGCTTTAGATGTGGAGGGGGTCAAAGGTGAAACCTTTTCCTCCACTTCGACTCTTAGATGGAATGTATCTGTTAGTGCTTCTATAGATTTTGTAGAGAAAAAGATCTATGTTGCTTCCTTATTGCTAATGTATTGAAAAGGGGAAAAAAATTACACAAAAAAAAAAAGACTTTGAGAAAAAAAAATCTTAAAACATTGATAATAATGATTTTAGACCAAAAATTTAAACTATCTCTCTTTGGATTTTTTTTTTTCCTTATCAATCATGATTTAGACTTTTGATTGTAATATTTATTCACGGTAGAATCGGTTTATCTCATTTATCGTCTCGTTATTTATTTAATAATTTATTTCTAGAGGTGCTTTTTTTCTTCATATTTTCTAATGTATTTCTAATGAACTTCCTTGCTTTTTGCCCCCCACTTTCCCCCCCGCTGAGGTTTCAAACCAAATCTTACCAGAGGTGCACCAACAAAGTCATGAAGGGAAGCTCCTAAACTGGCAGCTCTGTAAGACGAGCACCTCATGATCCGCTGGATTTTACCCGAAAGACAATTTTTGAGCAGGTGGTTTTTCCTGTATGTATACTTCCCTCCGTGTTTGCTTGTAATTGGACAGAGGTGAAGATCATTTTTCTGATTAGAAAGCATGACTGCGAGGCACAGTGCTGTTTTATATTCTCAAATGTGAGAACACAAACCAAAAACCCAAAAGGAGCAGAAGAAGAAGAAGGTCGACTGGGGCAAAGGCAAAAGTGTTTTGACGACAGAGACAGAAGAAGGAGCCAACACCATCCAGGGTGATGTTAAATTGCTCCGTCTTCTTGTTTTGTCTCTGCTCCTTTTTACGTTTCTGTCTCCTTTTGTTTTGCTGTGCGTTGGTTTTTAAATGATTTCTTCATCCACTGTAGGATGTAAAAGAGAGATAGTTCATCATATACCTCATATTCTTTGATGATAAACCAAATAGATGAATGCTTTAAAATGTGTGTATGGGGAGGGGTCAGGGTGTTGGGGGGGGTACGTGTGGAGGATGTTTGTTTCGGCTGCGAGCAGACGCAGTAAGGCTGAAAACACAGATGTTCGGGACTAACAGATAATTCAACGTTGCCTTGGATTAGATTAGATTTAACTTTGTTAGATTCATGTAAGGTTATAAACTGCTTTCTGCTCTAGGCTACACACACACACACACACACACCTGCACCCCCCTCCTCCCCCCAAAACACACCCCACTTTCTGTGCTGAGCTTTACACCCAGCCCTCTCCTCACATCTGGCCCTTGACGCCTCCCCAACCCAAACGTGGACTCTGGTCTTCAACAAGCTGCTGTTTGGCACAGATCAAAGATCAAATCTGGATCTTGTTTTTCAGCTTAAAAAAAAAAAAAAAAAAAAGCTTACAGGTTTGTGCCTCAGAGCAGATTTATCACCAAAGCTGCCCGTTCTCGTTTTGAGGGCCTGGCGAGAAGGGGCATGTTGACCAGTTGATGTCCGCTTGTATCAGGGAGCGCCACAGGGCAGGTAACCGTGGAGCATCTGTAGGTGACACATTCAGACTGTTACGTGTGTGTATGTGTGTGTGTGTGTGTGTGTGTGTGTGTGTGTGTGTGGAGAAGGTTTTGGAGGGCGAGGTGTGCAGAACATCTGCATTCTCACTGAGAATCCACTTTGCTCTTTTTGTCTCTCTTGTGCAAAAAGTAAAACTCTGCAGTGACTCTCAGTGTTTTAGGGACTGTGTGCAAAGTGCAGGACTCTGTGGTGGGGATACCCCCTAAAGTGAATGATACCAAAGTCAATGCCCTGCTGTGGGGTCAACACTGTGTGCTCACTCCCTCAAATCCTGATATTCTTTGTCTGCCACTACATTATTTATGCAGTTGATAAAAAAAAATAAAAAAAACATTACCTAATAGCGGTTAACATCCCTGTGAGCAGCTTTAAAATGAGCTGTTTGCTTTCCTGTAAGCTTAACAGGATAGTTCAGTTCTTTTATTTTTGGTACTGTGGAGAGGCTAAAAGTAATAAATATTTTATCTGGTGTACAGCTCTGTCTCAGTTTGGAGAAAAAGGGTTTATTTTGACCAGATTCACGCTTCAGTAGTGCCTCGTTTATCGCAAGGGATCTGTACCATGAAGCACCGTGATAAGTGAAAAATCATGAAGTAGGAGTAGTAATACAAGTAGTACCAGTAGTTCATTTTAATATATATATATATATATATATATATATAT